ACATTCGTAAACATGATGAAAAATATCAAATGACCTCCGATTCGTTCAACTTATTAGATAATATAGCACTTTGTTAGGAAGTAGTCCTACTGTGAACTCCTTAGTGGATGCATGTTGTCAGTACGTGTTTGCTTCAAATGATCTCTCCAGGGTGTGCTATGTTTACCGGATGTAACGGATGTAGTTTTAATCTGACAGCAAGTCCACAGGGGAAAATCTGTCTTGTCAAATACAAAAAGGAAATGTTCTTTTTATTCACTTGGAAAACTCTTATAAAAGAAACACTCAAACTGGAACATTTCTGCTTCACTTCTTTGCTTCTGTACTTTTATGTGCCTCCTTTTGAAATAATTGTAAGCGAGTATGGCTCAAATTTAATTACATGGTCTATAAAAATCACTCCCAATGCAAAAGTTTTATTACACCAAAAAAGAGTTGGCTAAAACGGGCAAGACATTTTATATTTTTTACCATCCAGAAAGATTTTTTTTAGCCTAAACCAGCTGGTCCTCATGACCCCGTAATATGCCAGATGCTTGTTGGGAGGTCAAGCCAGAGACAAATCTTTTGATCTCTGCAATAACAAAAGTAAGCATGAATTTTGCTAAGTTCTTTTAGGACCTTTAACTGGAACCATGTGCTTTGGTTACAGCCCTTTCTCAACAAACCTTTCCTGTTGATGCTGCCTGAAACAAGAATTTGTGAAAAGAACTCAGGCCTTCTTTCCAGCGCTATCGGGGACCCGTAATGTTGTGGGACTGTGTCTTTTTTAACTAAATGCCATATCATTATGTAAATATTAGCAAAGACTTTTTCTATAAACATCTTTTGGATTCTGCTGGAAGAGTTTGTGAAATATAATGGGGGACTGAGTGCTCCTCTATTCCCAAAAGAGGATTGGACAGTGAACGTCAGAAGCACTCATTTTGCCACTAGAGGTTATATGCCACCCCCACCACCTTACCCTCACTGTATAAATATACACAGGGATAATATTTTATGTTTAGATTCAACAAACAAATTGACTCAGTGGTCAAATCCTGTTTTTACCACCTGTATCTTCTGACCAAATTAAAATCTTTTTTTAAATCCTCTCAACTTGGGGAGGACCACACAGTTCTAATCCTAACTGTTATAATGGTCTTTGTGTTTGTGTCTCTCAATTTTCTCCTAAACATCTTCAGTTATGTCCAGAATGCAACTGAAATCTGCAATCATTTTAGAATTGATTTCAAATTATTGTTGTTTGGATACCTTTTAAAAGTCTTGGATGAAGTTTTGCATCTTTCTGCACATGGCCGAACAGTGTGGTCATTAAATCAATTTTAATTACATGTGTTGTGATGTGTTGGGATGACTGGGAGTTTCCAGCAGCAGCGTTCTCACTCTGGAACTAAATTCCTTTAGAAACTATGGGTTCCAAAACTTTTTAGATTGTGATCCGAAAAAATGCAATGCAGAAATGCAAATGCAGTGGCTGGAAGTTTGGGGAGATTTTGCTGAGAGCTGCAGGGGAGTCTGCTACCATTCAGCTGCCGTTTGACTGGGAAGGGCCATTTTGAACCGCTGCTACTGTAAAGAGAGAATACTGTACTTATCAATTTTAGATACATTTTTATCTGGCATTTATTATTTAATTTATTTAAATTTGTTTTATAGTTATGCAATGGGCCATTTATCATGTCTTTTACAGTTAATGGTACATTTAATATCTCAATCATGTATTAGATACATAAATCTGCTTATTTTGTGATTTTAGGTGGTACATTTTATGTTCCTTCCACATACCTCATGGATCACGTCACAGATTGTAAAAACCATCTCATAACGCCCACATAGTGACGAACCCCAGGTGGATGCTGACCCCCACCTTGCTAACGCCTGCTTAAGACCTTCACTTCACCTCCAACCCAAGCAGCTTTCAATACAAGCATTAAACTTTATTTAAATGCAGGCTTCTAATACCAAGTAGTTTAGCGGCATTGTATTTATTTTGTGCTGCCTTGTTGCCTCATTTAACAAATCTAGAATTTCTAGCTAACAATTTTACCTTTCAAATAATACAAATCCCTCAACACAAGTAAATGTTCATTTTTTCCATCCAATACAACTTGCATTTTCTTCCACACCATATGTTACCAAATCTATTTATGTCAGCTATGTGTTTATTTAACTGAAGGTTCTCCCTAATTTAAAGAGCCCATTAGTCCTGAGTCCAGCTGAGTTAAAGTTGTTTCAAATCGCAAATATTATAAAGGCTTTTAATAAATATCTGCTGCAGGAAATCTGTTAGCAGGATAACAAGAACAGTGGATCTAAAAACATATTTTGTGTCATTCTGTTGTGACAAATTAAATCAAATATTGTTTAAAACCTACTAAAGCTTCTAAGATTCGTATTTCCTATTATACTAGATTAGTTGGCTTTTTATATCATTTTAGACCAATACTGAGAGCAGTTGTAGGTTAAAAGAGCCACTTGTGGCTCCAGAGCAGGTTGCACACCCCTGGTCTATGTGTAGCATCATATTTCCTCAGCAATTCCTTCCTCCTGTAAAACCCTACTTGGTATTAAAGTGTTTCCGATTCTGGGTAAATTCTTCGAGGAGCTTTGTCGGTTGTTTTAAAGTACTATCTAAATACACCAATTAAAAAAAAAAAGATATACTGAAATAAAAAGGTTGTGTTTTAAAAACATTTATGGTGAAAAATCGTGTGTCATCCTTACAAGAGGGCAAAAAATATTTCACTAGATGTATTTATACTATTATAAACTCATTAAAGGGCATTGATCTCCAATGCTTCAGGCCTAAGTGTAAAGAAAGACCAAAACAATTTCTTTATCCACCTGTTGACATTTAATGAAAAACTCAAAGGAAAAACCCTGAAAGTGGATATCAAAATGGACAGTAAATGCGAAACAAAGGTTTCAAAAATAGTTCTTATATAGCATTTATTCAAAAGATGTTTAGGCACTTTGAACCATTTACAGTTTTTATTCATCATTCTACATGAGAGAGTACGTCTTTGGCCTCATTACCTTCTCAGTCAATTCAACTGAAACCACAGACAGAACGACAAAACCGCTTTCAGACTTAATATCAACTATTTACATCCCATCAAAACCCCATCAAAAAATCAACTCCCCAAAACCTCCATAAGTGTAAAGGCTGTCAACAGAGCAAAAACACGTACACGTTGGAATATTAATTCCCTCCTCCCAACTTTATAACAGCAGTATAAATCAAAATAACTCACGCTTGTGATATACAGTAAGATTTCGCATTAAAAGTTGTTTTTTTTGGTTAAAGAATTGTTAAAGATTTAAACTAACCCCGGCTCTATAATTCATTCCAGTAAACCTCCAGCAAAGGTCAGACTGCATTCTGGCTCATCTGCTTTGTCCGCTTTTATCCGCTTCAGTAAGTCAGCTAGCCCACTAACTAGCAGATTCCACATCCTCCGTCTCCGTGCCGCCCATGTACGTCTTGCCGAGTACTTGTCTGCCATGTTAATCAATAAGAACTGTTGCACATCCACCGCTACTCCTCCGATTGACACCGTCCACGTACTTCTTCTCTGTCCTTCAACGTCAAAATATGGAGATGAGCTATTTTTTGGTCAGCTCCGGTCCAGCCAGGTTAAGATCCACCATTGCAATCAAACCAACTAAGACGGTTTAATTAAATTATTGGATGCAAACTATTGGTAATTCAACATTCCAGGAAGCAGCTGCGCTGCTTCTGTCTCCTTGAACCCCAGTCGGCCTCGGCAGAGGGCCGCTCACACTGAGCCTGGTTCTGCTGGAGGTTTCTTCCTGTTAAAAGGAAGTTGTTCCTCTCCACTATCGCAACCAGCATGCTTAGTGTGAGGGATTGCATTCGGGTCAATGAGTCGATGCAACCAACTGGTTTTCCTTAGATAGAAAACTTTGAATCATTTTCACTGGATGATCTGGTGAACTATAAAGTGCCTTGAGATGACGTGTGTTGTGAATTGGTGCTATAGAAATAAACTGAATTTTATCTTATACCAAGAGGCTTTAAAGTTTAGTCAAATCCGGTTACAACAACTTCCAAGAGGGCATCTGACACCTTCAAAAGAAACTTCTTATCGCAGGCATGGATGAAGAGACGCTGAGTTTGGAAATAAAGAACAAACATTGTTCATACAAACCATGGATCATCCTAGTTATCCCTGTAACAAAAATCCACAACTAAAAGAAAATATGTGGGCAGAAACTGCACATATGCTGGATGCTAATGGGGATTTTTTTTTATATGTCATATTAAATTAAGCGTTGTTTTCCACATGTTTTGCTCCCATCAACTTAATAATGATAACATCGTGCATGCTCTCCTCGAGCTCCAAGGAAGTCGGAGCGGAGCAGGACAGGAGGAACCGCCGAGCCTGTAGGCTTTGCTTAACGCAGGCGGTCTGGAGCGCAGTGGGGCGGAGCGGTTCAGAAGGATGTGGGATTTGGAGGTTCAGCAGAACTTTTAAGCGTTGGCACCATCATAACAAAGAAACTTACATTTAACCCAAAAAATCCACAAGAAGTTGAACCAAAATATTCCAGGTATGTGGGTTATTCTATTAATGCTGCTGAAGGTAAACAGGACTTTGAGGATTATCAGAACGTTCTGTGCACTTCATTCTTGACCTTTGCAATTTAATACTGTTCACACTTTTCACTGCTGAGAGACAGTAAACTATACAGTTAATAATAATATATGAGGTATGTGTTGAATATGCATCAATAGGCAACTCAGCTGGAACCAGTTACAAAACCAGTTTGTTGAAAAGACCGTTTCACAACCAGCAAACATTTCCATCATAGCCTCTCATGGGGCTAGAGTCTGCTGCCTGTGAACATTTCAGAGTGATCAAAGTATCATGCAGCTTTGTTGAGCATGGAGAAATAGGGGGCAATTCCAGTTTCTGCCAGCTGCTATCTACATACGTCCTTGATCTTCTAAATTTGTCCTGAGATATGTCTTGTGATCGGCTGACCAATTGATCTGCCCTGATTTTCTAAATTGTGGAAGGTTGGTAATTCACTTAAACTAAGATGTGAAAATGTTCATATCCAACTTTTTAAATGAATAAAAATCCTGCACTGTCAACGCTTGCGTTTATATCTGAATGCAGTTTTTTGAGTTTTTATTTTTTCACAAAAATTGTTGGATGATTTTTTTACAAAATAAGTTAGCAATATCGAAGGTGTCTTGTATAATGTGTAAAGAAAAAACCCATAACCTGTCATTCTTAGGCCTGACTTATGATTAAGCAAATTTGCGATAGACCGTAATATTTTATATTCACTGATCCCGTTGTGAGCTGTGCAACCCGTACTTCCAAGAGTTCCAGATGAATGTCCATTGCAGCCTTGATGGAGCCAGAATGCAGCAATGATGACTGCTGTGGACGAATTGGGAAAAAATGGTTCACCTCATAACAATTTAAAGGTAAGACATAAAGATTTTCAAATATCCGTAATAATGAAACTCAGCTGCAAGGCAGCCATGTTTGATAGGAGTTACTACGCGCAGAGATGGACTGAACTTGTGCCACATAGTAGTTGCTGAAGTTGACGTCTCTGACGTATGGGGCTGGCTGGTAGTAGCAGGTGATGTTGGACAAAGCAGGGATGGCATTGTGTTCAGCCAAAACACGCAGTGCAAGGGCGGATATTAGAGCCAGCGTCTGCCGGCGCTCGTGGCCCATAAGACACACAGTGCTTTCATCCACCACTTGCCTCAGAGTCAGCAGGTACTCATAGCGCTTGTGTTCAATTCCAACAAAGTGGTTTTGCAGATATGCCTCCAGTTTCCTCTGCTGTTCAGATATGTCAGGGAAGTCAATGAAGAAGCGTGAGCACATGTAGCGTTGCATCTGTTTCATGTGACTCTTGGAGGACGGACGGAAGCCGCGGACCAGCAGGTGGCAGTACTTAAGCAACCCGCCACCCCGGATCTCTTCAGGGCTTCGGGTGGCAATAGTTCTGGATCTGAGATGTTCTAGAGCTTCTTCAAAATCTCCATACATGCTCTCGCCCTGCACGCTAGGGTGGAAGGTCTCAGTCATGGCCGTCTCTGAGCAACGGTCAAACAGCAGCAATGAGTCCAGCGAGATCTGGAAAGAGTCTACGCTAAACTCGAACTGCCTCCTCAGGGAGTCGACGAACTTTAGCTCCACATTCTTGCCAGTGTTGTTGGACAGTGAGATGAGGCTCCAGCGGTCTGTGTCATTGCAAACCTTCACCAGTTTCTGCACATAGGCCTCCTTGAGTGCAAGGGCAGTAATTCTCTCCCTGCACACCCCTTCAGGAAGGAAGTCCACCAGGCAATCCAGCACCACGTCCTTTACCAGACGAAAGATTTTATCATCAGAAAGACTTAAGCCAAATATCAGGTCCAGGTCTTTGTAGCCAAGGCCATTGTCTTGGTGAAGCACATGGCTGGCTGCAGAGCCATTCAGCTTTACATCACGTACGACCACACCCTTCTCCTCCAGTCGAGCCCTGACCACCTGGAACAGGCAGAGAAAAGACAGAAAAATTATTATAGACAAGACATCAATCAAGTGAAGCCTGCAAAGAAATCAGAGATTTATACATTCAAAAAGAGAAACGCACTTTCCTTCCGTTTTTTAAGGAAAGTAGTCGTGCACGATGTGCTATGAAAATTATACATTTTTTTTAAACTTTCTTTTAAATCAGAAACTGGGGATTCCTTACATCGAGCATATATGTAGTGACAGTGGAGAGGAGAGTGGAGACAAGTCGTCTGCTGAGGCCGACTGGGGCAGATAAAATAGGTAGCTGATAACCAGCTTCACAGGCGGGACTGGACCACCTGTGGAGCTAGTTACCAGCTACAAACTGTCCTAGGTTATTAATGATAATTATTATAAAGATAACAGTAACATTATCATCTACATAGAGGGAAATAAATTCATTTCTGTGGCTGGATGAAGGTTCATTTCTAATAATGTGATTTCATTGTGAATATATAGTTAAAGTTGTTAAGAAATAAATAAAATATTAAATGTCCTTGAATAAATAAATTCAAAATGTACAAACAGGACAGTACGGAAGCCAAGATCGTTCGAGTCTCTCAGATACTTTTAGTATCTTTTAGTAGATGAAAGATGTCACAATTCGTTATCGGCTGTTGATCAAGTCCCAGTGCTGTATGTAGTGTTTGTCACAATGCATCATTATCCACGATGGGGATGTCCAGTTTATTATGGAAAGCAGAAAGAGATGGCTTAATGACATATTTTTCCTCTGGCCAGAAGTTCGATGGCAAATCCTCCCTCTTCAAGTTGGCAATCCAACGACGAACCCGTCTGTGGAGGATCAGGAATCGGAAAGGGGAAATAACAAATTTTTTTTCACTTTTACCCGATGTATTCCAACATCCAACTGCCTTGCACATGGGCATTGACAGTTTAACTATAGCTCTGGTGAATTTCAAAGGTGATGTGTCTAGTGGTTCCCATTGATTTTGTTGTAAAGCGGGGAGAATGGCGCTAGGCTTACCGCACTGTGACGTCACTGCCGGAAGATGGCAGGCGGGAGGCGTTACTATATTTGGGCAAAAATGGCCGCTCCCAGATTTTTATTTTTTTTACTGATTAAAGCTAAATTCATTAAATCACCATGAACCTATTAGTTTTATAAATAATGATCCATTGATTGTTCCTTGCTTACGAAACTTTTCCTTTAACATAATCATAAGCAAATCGCAGTAACGCTAAGGATGTAAATTTTGTCAAATTTCATCATCATGCAATTTCCTGATTTTTTTTCATTGATCAGTAGGAGCATAAAAGTGTTGCTTTTGTTTGTTTCCTCTATTAGAAGACAGCATCACACCTAGCGATGGGGCTAACCACCCCTCCTCACTCAGATCAAGCCCCTTGGCAGGACTTTTTTGTCTATCTGAAAGGATGCTGAAAGGGGAATCTTTATTGATATCAGCTCAGATCTTTAGCAAAGATCAGATTAATCTGACAACAGATGAGCAACACAGAACAGCAGCACATCAGAAGTAAACCCTCGTGGCCAGTGACTGTGTTCCACAGGGCAACTGGAGCAAACACCACTAATGTTCTGCTGGGATTGTTGGTAACATTACTGAACTCTGTACACATGTTCATGTTTCCTGTCTGTTTTACTAAAGCCATGAAGCCTAAAGCTCTAATCCAAAGCACAGATGTCCAGTTAAAACTTTCACTGAGCCTTAGGGATCCATCATTGTTGTATTTAGTTCTGGTTTTCAGTATAAACAGATGTTTAAGAATAAACAAAAACTGTTGTCTTTTTTTCTTAACTCTAGAATTAAGATCATGGGTTGATTAAACTGAAGGAATGTCTTTAAAAAAAAAAACAGTAAAACAGTTCAGAAGATAGAAAACATTTCAAAATTTACCCTTTTTTTTTTTTTTTTTTTACAGATTTATAATATCTAATAATGAATCCTCATTGGTTGCCAGTACAACAGAGGAAAAATTTGGAAATTTACCAAAAAAGAAATAAACTAATGGCTAATCTGTGACATTTACAAGCGGAAATGTTCAGGTTCATTCATCATCCATCCATCCATCCATCCATCCATCCATCCATCCATCCATCCATCCATCCATCCATCATTCCTCAGCCATCCATTCATCATCCATCCATCCATTCATCCATCCATCCATCCATCCATCATTCCTCAGCCATCCATCCATCCATCCATCCATCCATCATTCCTCAGCCATCCATTCATCATCCATCCATCCATTCATCCCTCATCCATCCATCAGCCATCAATCATCCATGGTGCTTCTGTATCATAAGACACATCTTTTAGTCTGATCTAAATTTGTAGAGTAGAAGTTTGCTTTTAATCAACTTCTATCAATTCTGTGTTTTTTCTTATTGCATTTGTACCTTTCACTGTTGGTATCCTTAACTTACACACACAGTATTCACCAAGAGCTTATACATAAAAAAAACTCCCAAAATAGCTCCCTTAAAAATAATTCTATCAAACAAAGCCTGAGGAAGCCATGGTGTTCCATGGATCCTTCAAGCAGTGGAACAAACAATTCACTGACCAGAAAAAAACTTAGGAACGCAGGAACAGCCGCCTCACATTTCAGCCAATGACTTGCACTCTTACGCACACACAGGTGGAGTGGCCACCCACACAAAGGAAACTGTTGGAAGGTTTTCCAATCACCACGCAAACTATCATCATCCCTACTCTGTCTACCAGACTGCTGAATTGCAAGGTCAGTGACCAGGCGATCTTAGCTGCCGTTCGCTTGACAAGATAATCTGAGTCACTGCTCTGAGCTTTCGTTGGTATCCAGGGAACCACTGGCTGGTAAACAGCTGTTTAATTTCAAACCTCCACAATAAAAAACACATGCAGACCGCAACTGAAATGAAATAACTGAGAAAATTATCGAGACACCAGAGCGGGAGTGGAAAGACTATTATTCGTTGCCAAGGCGTTGTCAACACCAGACAGTCTGGTGTGTTTGCGGCTCAGTTTTACAAGTTTTCTCTGCTCTTGCGTTGGCGGAAGTGTCTCCCCTGGCTGAGCGCACCAGGTGCAGGCGCGTCATGTGGGACAGGAGGAATGGGTTTTATGTGTGTGTCTGTGTGTGTGTGTGGGGGGGTGGTTGCGGTGTTCATTTCTTCTGCTCCTTGGAGGACACAAAGGCGGATCAACATGTGTTGTTTGTTCAGATCTGCTGTTTTTTTAAAATGAGGTCATAGAATTTCAGTTAGATATGAAAATATGTCTAATTTCTTCCCACAAAGCTGTTTAAAATTTTGATGACATAAATAAAATTGTCTGTTTCAGAGTGTCTTTCAAAGAAAATGAATAAAAGTAAAACAATAAAATGGATGCTTGCCAATAAATGTTGTTGACAAGAATGAATCAATTAATATTCGGATAACCAAAGGTTCCTTAATGAAGATTCTTTACAAAATTAAACCAGGTGAAACTGAAACTTTTCCACTTGGGGAATTCTGGATTTGCATATTGACAGAAAAAAAAGTTTTTTTATTTTAAAGGCAAAATGTTTAAATATTTGTTTTTGTTATTTTGTTGATCAAGGTGGGTTGCTCATCTCTCTAAGTTTGAGTCTCTATATTCCAGTTAATTGATATCTAAATTAGTTGGCGTCTATTTAAATAAACGATTATTCGCAATTAATTCTCTGGGTTCAAAATGTTATACATATAAACATATAAAATGATTCATTGTATCGGTTTTAATGACAAATCGGGATGTGAAAAGTTTTTCTGGAGAGTTGTCATTGGCAGTCAGCAGTGTGTTGTAGCTGAATAAGGGAAACTTTTTTGTTTTAGCTACTATTAATACATGAATCTGAAGGTTTTCCTCCTCTGGTGTCTGCATTTTGCTCAGCCTCAACAAAAGCCTGTGGTTAGTTTGCTTTATAGCCTGGTGAGTCGTGCACTGGAGAGTGAAGCATCTGGTCTTTGCTTATCTAACAGACATGTTGCGTAGCATCGGAACAGTAAGTAATCCTCGTCGCCTGACCCTCATCAGGGCAACACTGTCCAGGACAGAGGAGTTCCAGGAAACCTTTGGTTGCCCGTGTTTGTGTGACGCAACATGGAGGCTCCGGGGGAGCGGCCACCGTGGGTTCTTGCTGTGGTTTGGTGACTGCTGATGTTAAATGAGTCTGTGAGAGCAGAGGTGTCATTAACAGTAGACGTTTCCCTGACGCTCATTGCCAGCCTGACCACAAACAGATGGTTCCTAAATGTGGCCCGTGAACAATTCCACTGCTGAGAAGTGGTAGGGGGTGATGGGCTACTGTTAGTATTACGGAGATTAATGGCGTCATCCACTATGGCATGGTTAAAAATGGCTACAAAACATCTTGTCTCTGTGTTGCACGCGGGTTTAACATGATGACCTTAAGTCTTCATATCAAAATGTTTGAGTAATTCCAGCATCTGAAAGTCTAAATCAGCCATTGGTTTCAATTCTTTCTGTTTCAAAGGCAGCAACAAGAGGTCATCGGGTTCAAAGCCAGGCAGAGGCAGTACCTCTGACTGCAAAGTCCATTTCACAGCAAACCCTGAAGGACCCCTAAGGTGGAGGTCAACAGACACATATTAGACACTACAGACACTACAAGAGAACTAGCTTGTAGTGGCTTCTCCAGCTAGTATTCCCCCCCTGGAGACTGAATGTTAAACTAAAGTGATTTTGCACAGATGCAGCAGAGAGGTCAACATGGGGGAGTCAAAGTCGACACTCATCCGAATTCCTACTGAAGGACCCAAAATCAGATTTTTTGTTTTTCTGGACATGATGACCAGCTCAGACTTTTTAGAAAAACATTGTCAATCAGATCTTTTCAAGTTCTCAACTTTTCAAGTACTATTTGAGCCACTTCCATGTGTGGACCTTCATCCAACTGGTATCCGACTCCAGTGGGAACAACCAAGGCTAATTTGACATCACTTTTCATCGACATCTGTCAGGATT